ACCGTGTTTGGAGACCCAGATATGGCCAATTTGTAGAAAGTTGAATCTCCGATTCGCAACCCCCCAAACCAAAACCGGGTTCCTCCGATGGCTGTTGGGCATGGTGGTGGCAAGTTGCCCGAAACCGCTGAGACCAACGTAGAACTTCCATGCGCATGGCTACAGTCAGCCTCAGAATTACTTGTCTGGGGTGTATTGCTCTGGCATGACGGCGCATGCTTTCCGTATGGTGCTCTACAGCTGTTGCGACACAGATGCTGCAAGGCATTCTTGTAGCGCTGACGTGCGCCTACTGCCAAGAACCCCAATGCGGCCCACGCTCCTTGGTACTAGTCCGTCCGCGAGCAGCGCAAGCGTAAGAAAAGCAGGAAGAGAGGGAGGAAAGCAGCAGCAGAAGCAGCAAGCAGGGAAAAGAGCTGCGTCAGAGGCAGAACACCAGCGGCACGAACAGCAGCAGCAGCGGCGGCGGCGGCGGCGGCAAAAGGGCAGTCAGAAGCAGCAGGAGCCGCAGAACAGTAAGAACAGCAGAAGGAGCAGCAACGCCAGCAGAACAACAGCAACAGCAGAATGGAAGCTGCAAAAAAGCAACAGCAAAGCAGCAGCAAAGGCAGCAGGAGTAGCTGCAAAAAAGCAACAGCAAAAAAGAGCAGAACAATAGAACAGCAGAAAAGCAGAACGGCAGAACAGCAGAATATAGCAGCAACAGCAGTAGCAAAGCACAAGCAAAAGTTGCAGCTGCAGAAGTGCACAAGGCAGAAGAGAGGCACCAACAGCTGAAGACACAACCCACGCCCTTGCAAGGCAGCTGCTGCAACTCTAGGGGTATCGTTTGGGCATGGGTGCTCTGATATGCTGGATCACGCATGTGCTCCAAGGCAATCATTTTGCGAGCGCCTGCAAGTGCGCATGCGTGTGCGGCCGCGCGCCTGCCTGCCAAAGGGGCCTGTGGGCCTGCATATGTGACTGCGCCAGCACCTGCGCGAGCGCGCGCGCACGCGCGTGCAGTGTGCTTTGTGCTTTTGTGTGTGGTGTGTGTGTGTGTGTGTTTGCGTGTTTGCGTCTGCTTTTGTTTGTCTGTGTGCGCGTGGTTGTTTGTTTGTATGTGTGTGGTGTGTGTTTGCGTGTGTGTGTGTGTGTGTGTGTGTGTGTGTGTGTGTGTGTGTGTGTGTGTGTGTGTGTGTGTGTGTGTCTGTTTCGTGTTCTTGTTTGTGTGCGTTGTGTGTGTGTATGTGTGTTGTGTGTGTGTGTTTGCTTGTTTGCGTCTGCGGCGGTTTGTCTGTGTGCGCGTGGTTGTTTGTGTGTGTGCTTGCGGTTTTGTGTTTTGTGCTTTTTGTGTGTTTGTATTTTTATGTATGTGTGTGTTGACGTGCTTGTGTTTGTGCGTGTGCGTGCTTCTGTTTTTGCGCGTTTGTGTGTCGGTGTGTTTGTGTATGTTTGTGTGTTTACTTGTGTGATTGGTTTTGTGTTTTGTTTGTGTATTTTTGAAAGCGTGTTTGTGTGTTTGTGTTTGTATGTTTTTGTTTGCGTGTTTGTTTGTTTGCTTGCTTGCTTGTTGGCTTGCTACGCATGCAAAAGGCATGCAACGTGCGTGCTGCATTCTGTGCCTTTTGTGTGCAGCTTGGCATGTAGTTCTGTTTCGTTTGTTTTGTGCAAAAGGCATGCAAAATGCGTGGTGTCTTGTTCTTCGCAGCTTGTGTGCATTCCTGCACGCAGTTCTGCTTTTTCTTTGTGCATGCATTGGTTAAGACATGTTGCCTTTCTTTTTGGGATGCTGTATGCATGCGTATGTTGCATGCATTGGTTGTCTTTTCGGAATACTTCATGCATGCAGAAGGCATGCAAAATGCGCTCTTGTGTTCGCCTGTATTTTGCATTCATATTGCAAACAATACGCATGCAAAATGCGTGCTGTATTGATCTGTGCCTTTTGTGTGCATTTTGGCATGCAGTTCTGTTTAGATTTGTCTGCATGCATTGGTTAGGACGTGTTGCCTTTGTTTTTGGGATGTTGGCTTTGCATGCATTGGTTGTGCATTTTTGGGCATATGTCATGATGCACAAGGCATGCAAAATGCGACATTGTGGTTGCTTGCATTTTGCATGTATATTGCATGAGTTTTGACATTGATGCATGTTGGGCATACACTCCGCATGCAAAAGGCATGCAACGTAGCTCAAAATGGGATTGTTTTTCATGCATTGGATATCGGTATGCATTTACTGTTGTTTGCCATGTATGTCGCGTCATGTTTGCCGCATTTTTGGCAACCACTACGCATGCAAAATGCGTGTTGTATTGTTCTGTTTTGCAGGCGTTGGTTCTGCATGCATACTTCATGCATGCATAAAGCATGCGCAATGCGTTGTTGTGTGCTCGCATTTTGCATGTATATTGCATGAATGTTGCAGCATTCTGGGCAAATACTACGCATGCACAAGGCATGCAACATGCCCGCTGATTTTGACATGCAGTTCTGTTTCGATTTGTGTACAAAACAATCTGCAGCTGATCAACAGTCCGTCTGCATCGCTTGGACGCTGTGCTTGCATGTTCGCGTGAGAAAACGAATTGCCTGTGGGATGATGTTACTCCTGCCCCCAACCGTATGCTGTCGCTTGCCGTTGCCGTGCTGGTTCACAGAATGCGGGGGATGATTTCATTCCCCCGCTTTGCTCGTTCGTTTAAGGATCTTCCAGTTCGTTCCCATGGGCCTTGGCCCATGCTTCCCATTGCTCATGGCCGGCGCCCCGAATTGGTCGATCCCCTGCTCGTCCATCACGTGTGCGACGTGTGATGCCGATTGCGCCAGCTCCACTCTGGCGGGGGCGGGCCACTGCTTGGTCCTGGACGCCGCAATGTCCTGTAAGCCCTGTGTGATGGAAGAGGCCTCAGAGTTCGCGGGAAAGGTCCAACCAAAAATGACCAAGGCAAACTCACCCATACTTCCGTTCGCTTAAGCCTCTGGAAAAAAATGCAGTAGTCATAGATTCCCTTTTAAAAAAACAGCAGGGGAAATAAAACATATTCTTAAGCAAATGGAAGTATACATGTGACCCAAAAAGGTGATGATTGAAATCGCCCGAAATTGTTGAAAATCACAGCCATTCCGCGATAGCGATTCCCAGCCCCATGACTCTTTCAGAAGGGGGATTCCCAAGGGCCACTCACAGAAAAATACCCTAGAACCTGGGCGTGCGAGTGTGACAATTAGGGAGGGTACACCAAAAATGGGCACACAGCATGGGCCTTGTAGTAGCAGTACAGGCATGGGCAAAAGCAAATGCCGTACGTCGCCACACAGCAGATGCAAGCGCACATCGCCCCGGCAAAATGCAGATTGTTGTCCTTCAGGTACGCCTCCAAGGCTTTTCCCGTCATGATACATGGCCCTGCTCCGTTTGTCGATTGCTTAACGTATCATGTACCCAAGGGGAGACCTCAGAGAAAATGTCCACCGTGGAACAGTCCACAAACTGGAGCCCTGCTCTTGTCTGTTTTTTGTTCTTACAATTAGCCGTTATTATCTTTCATGTTTACAACTTGAAACTCGCCCTCCTCCAAGGATTGCATGAGGTCATCATACTGCTCCCGGCTGCACGCGAGGGCCAACCGCTCGTCGTAGCCGGGGAACAGCTGGTTGCCAGCGGAGTTCCAGCCGATGTTGGCATAAATTCTTGGCCGGCAAACATGGTCTCAACTCTTTGCTGGGTGGAGAACAGCTTCAAACCGATTGCAGTCCAAGCAACAAACAAACCTGAAAGTGACCCTGTCGTTTGGGCCATTTTTCTTCAGGCCTCTGTCATGGCCCATTCTTTTCGGGGAGGTTAACAGTTTCCTTCTTCTGCAAATCGACATGCGCTCTAAAGAAGGTCTTCCTCAGGCAGAGTCCGCGTTGTGCTAACCTTTCCACAAACCGTCTTTTCCCTCTTCGGCCCCCTCACAAAAGACTTGAAGAGGGTAGTAACTCCAACAACAACACACACTCCTGTTGGGGTTTTGGGGGGGAGGGCGCTTCCCTTCAGTGATTCGGGGCAAGACTTCCTCTTCTTACCCCTTAAAACTCCAAGCCCTGCAAAAGTTAAAATCTTTTACAGACATATAGCCCATGTTGGCCAAAAAGCTGAAAAAAGTTGTGTTTTTAAGAGGTAAGTCTTTGGGTTGCCAAAGGCTCAAGGCGTTGGGCCCAGATCTGCTACGTGGAGCCAGGATCAGCCGTCCCATGAAGGACCGGTCCACCATGATGCGGACGCGGACGGCCGGCGGGTTGGCACCGCCGCGTGCCCTGCTCGGTGCTGCGGCGGCTGCGGGCAATCCACGCGCAGAGGCCAGGGGCTGAGAAAAAAAACCGGAGATATTTTTGCAAGGCAGAGTTCGTGGGAAAAACCAGGCCAAAGGGAGTGAGCTAAGAGGGAAGCAAGCAGCCTAGCCGTTTTGAGAGAACGGGGTTGGTTTCCTTCAATCACGAACAGGGCCGTGTCCGTGTGCGAGAAACGGACGATTCGTTTGCGCTTGCACCACTGCGTGGTTTCATGTGTGCGATGGTTGGAACTCCAGCCAAATCTGGGCCATGGTCTGTTGTCTGCACTCCCGAGGTGCGTGTGTCCCATAGTGGGGGCCCAACAAATCGATTTCCGCTGTCCCCTTGTTTGCTCAGTGCCTTACGTGGTTCGAATCGTCTGTTCGAATGACGATGCACACAGCGCAAACGGATGCGGAACCGCTCCACTGGCTGTTTCAATCTCTCGGAGTCCTCTCTGAAATTTTAGTATGCAGATACATATCTCTTGCGACTTTTCGTGTCCGATTTTCCTTCAAACACGGCTGTCAGCAACTACAATTCACGCATCTGACGATAGGCAGGACCTTCATCATGGGTGAGATCGGTTTATCACTTGTCCAAACAATATCACCCGAATCCAAACCGGGGGTGCAATGTTCAGGAACAGCGAGACGCCTCCCGAGGTTCTACCCAGTTTGCGCTTCCCGGATTCCCCCCTGCCTAGTTCCATCTTCTGTGCCATCCACCGCAGGTGCCCCGCCAACTCGTCATTTTGACTGCCTGCAGGTTGGGTGCAGACCATCCTGGTGGCAAGGGGCAAGGGTCCAAATGGGTGGCGATGCTGTCTTCCTTTCAAAGAGCCACAATTGGTCAACTGCTCAGATCACACACGAAGGCCCGTTTGCCTAGTTGCCTGATTCCCTGATCTGGGGCCTACATCCAGCAGGTTGACAAGTCTTGAGAGAATAAGCCCAACATCCCAAAACAGCTGGCAGCCTTCACATACCCAACAGGGACATGGCCCTTCCATGCAACACGCCCGTCCATGCAACACGCCTTGCGGTGTCTAAGAGCCAGGGCAAACAGCCAAGTATAAACGTACGATATGGTCAACGCCTCAGGCTGGATTCCATGAGACATTGCATTGCAATGCTTTCCAATATGTCTTGTTGAGCGTCTTGGAAATCATCAAACATGGCCTTAGAAAGTAAACAACAGAGTGACTTTGACTGTGACAAGATCCGGCTTCGACGTGCAACAACCCTGCAAAAGCCGAATCATATGTGCAATACCACCGTCTCCATTTGGGCGAATTTAGTGAATACGAGGGGTAGAGTATGAACTGCACAGAGGCATGACATCGTTGATGTCACACGCAGGGAAACCAACGGCCGCAAAGCTTAGAGGGTTCCAGTCGAAAACAAGGTGGACGGATGATCTCCTTCACCTTTTCCAGGGAAACCAAGGGGAAACCGTACACTTTGGGGTGGCATATGTTGTTTTGCGACGAACCCATGGCCTCTTTTCCAGAGTGTACCCAAGAGGGTTGGGAACCTGTTCGAGTTCGAGTTGCCTCGAACAGGCAAGGCCAATATGAACAGAATCAAGGAAACCCGAACCGGTTTCCTGGGCCAAAGTCCAAAGTGATGGAATTGCTTTTCACTTCTGTGACAAGCCTCGCCAGGGCATTAGGCTGTCAAACTGGCTTTTGTCTTGCTGCATTCATGAGGCGCGCCATCCAAAAAAGAAGAGTCCCTTACACCCCGAGAGAGCCATTTTGAGATGCAGATGAGTTCCCTGACGAAAAAATTGGGCTGAGCGGCCTGGCAGCACATCAAAGTTCCGCGGCACCGCTGCGCTGCCTCTCAAAAGCGTAAATCCCTCACGTCGCTGGCAATTTGGAGAAGCTACGGAGTGGGCAGCTTCTTTTTTGGGGGTTCCATTTTTGAGTCCGACAAATGTCACGAGGCATGGCCATTTCGTTTTGTCTTAAGCATAGTGGTCCCAGAAAATGGCAGCGGTGTCCTTTTGGTGTCCCTTCAAATGCCAAGCCAAAGGGGGTCCGGTGCATCACTTTGAGAAACACGCAAAGTAGAACCATCTCCAAAAAGAGGGTGCCATATTTCCACATGCACCGAGTAATAATGTATATTTAGGTCACAACCAGTCATGCCAAAATGGACACCCTTGAATTGGTCGCAAAACGTCACAGGGTTTTTTGGGGCTCCGTGTGTGCCTTGCTTACCCGTTGCATCCCGTTGCCATTCCCCAAGGACCTGGAAACAAAATGTCGTGTTCTTTGGGGCCGGAACCAGTGCCGGTCAACAGGTCCGATTCGCTTTGGGCAATGCGCCAGAAAGCAGAAGAGGGATCAAGAAAACGCGTGGCCGAAGGCCCCACTTTCAAGCCTCTGAATCGGCGTCCAAGGGAAATTCGTAGTTCGCATCCAGATGCAAAGAAATGAACCTTCTCCAAACATCTGTGGATTACGGCTCGAACCCCTATGGTTCTTTGCAACAAGCCCATCTTGCTTGATGCTTTTCTGGAAAGCATCCCTGGAAAAGTCACCCTTGGCCCTTTTCCCCCGGGTTGTTCTTTTTTGTTTTACACCAAACTTTCCACATTTGGGCTTTTGAAGGGAAGTCAACCTGTTGGTTCACTAAAAGCTTGGTTTAAATTCGAGAAGCATCAACATGAAACCACTCGCGTGGAGGTGCCCTAGTTCGGATGGTAGCCATATATACGTGTGTGTCTGTGTGTGTGCTTGTGTGTGTGCTTGTGTGTGCTTGTGTGTGCGTGTTGGCGGCATTTACCTCCTTGTGTGACAAGTACCATCTGCTGTCAAACCATTTCGACCTGAATTTGACCTGATTCATGATCGAAACCTGGTAAGGGGCTGGATCCAGAAGCGAAGCACTGGCTCGCTTACAACGGCGAACTACACAGGGGTCTGCAAAGTACAGCCAGCTTGATTGCAGATATTCGCACCTAAGTCCCCTACCCAACCATAAAGGAGAACTCCAGGAAGGCTCGTCTTGGGTGTTATTCTCCACTCTTCTTTTCTTTTTTCTTTCTTTTTGGGGGGGAGGGGGTCATATCCTAGTCTTAGACGTAAAACAACTTACCCTATTACAGATTATTGCAGAGAGAGACCATTTGAGCCAAACTCCGTCCTGGCTGCGCGAGCTGGCGCGAGAGCCGGGCCGTGCGCTCCGGCGGGGGCATGGCTGGACGCCAGGTGTACGAGGTAAAAGATCCAACAGGTGGGGCTTCAAGCGCAAGACTTTCCTGGTACAACACAAGGGGTTGAAGATCCACAGGGTGCAAACTGGTGTTGACCCTCTCAAAACCAGGAGCCAGTTTGGACTGAAGCGGACACCTCAAGGTTGGCAAATCTCTGGTTCCCTTTCCACTGCAGGTGGTTGGTTCGAGACAAACATCATGTTGAGAATTTGAAGCCCAACGCGCGCTTCCGCAAAGCTGGACAGTCTGAACAACGTTAAGCTTGGCGAACAGAAACAGAGCCAGGAACAGAGCTATCAGGATTGTTGCACATCGAAGGTACTTGCCTGAAGAACCTATTCTGTAGCACATCCTGAAGTGCAAAGGTGTACAGGTATTGCAGGATACCAATGATTTGGTCGAATCCTTGAAGAGGGTACTGTTCAATGCTGGCCATGCCTTGGGAGGGTGGTTTTGAGAAAGAACACCTTCCTAGGTGATCTAGGTTCACCCAAGCTGCTGCACGTCTTGCAAGGCGTTCAAACAAGCATAGATTCATGTGAGGCTGCTTGACTAGTCTGCTTTTGGGCATGCACGCTGAGGCGGCGCTTCGATCTGATCTCCGCAAAACAGAATCCCCCATCAAGGTGCTTGGGTTCTTGCCCAAAAGGCAACTAACATTGGATCAGCTGAATCGGTGTGCTGCCGTCGAAGAAAGCAGCCAAAGCATCATCCAAGCGGGAACCCATGAAATGCATACCTCTTCCTAGGTCTTCCGCTGGTGTCCAGGAAAAGGATTGTGCCAAGCACGTGACGGACGACTTCGTCCATCAAGCAGCTCTAGCAATTGCATTTAGGAGTCCTTCTCTGCTTTCTCCTCAACCAGGGTATGAGGCCAGGATTGCTTCTAGCACGTGATTTTTGCCGTACCCTTCTCCAAAACAATTCCCGTCGCGATCGTGACGACAAGCAAAGCTCTCCACGGCAAATTTGAAATGAGATCTTCAGCGTAGCCCACTTTGAGAGAGGTTTTGGATAGCGACAACAAAATGCAGCTGGACATTGGGCTTCTAAGCGATTCCCATGTGATATGCTTCATGTTCGCCACTTGCCAATACTTCTACATTCCCAAACATGGACTTCAACATCGCCCTGGGAATGTACCGAAGCCATGGTACATTTGGACCCACCTTCAACACCCCTTCACCTCACTTAAGAATGCTTTGGGGGTCCCTGAAATCTTCCAGCCGTGGACCAGCCTGAGCCGCTGCTTTTTCCCCTCTCGCGGGCTCGCATGCCGAGTGGCAGGCCAGCATCTCAGGCATAAGGGAGCTGAATTTGTGACCCCGGGTGCAACTTTCATCGGATGGCTTGAACATCTAGTCAAGAACCCCTCAAGAGGTTCGAGCATACGCAGAAACACTACGGCTGTATCCTGGAAACGACCTTGACCTACGGATGTCTGCGAGAGCTGTACTCATGCAGCTTTGCATCAGGCTGGGCCTTGTGAGTACCAGGGACTTTGAGGACACATCTTTGAGACCACCAACTGCAAATCAAGTAATTATCTCTATGCGCTGCTTTGCCAAGTATGGCAGGTGCCTACACTCGCTTCGTTGGAGTGCTTCTATAGACTCCTTTTTGAAGTCACTTTAAGGGTCCCATCCCCTTGCCGCCGGGGGGGGCAGTTGGATTGTAAACCCTATCAGGGACCCCTCCTTGCCGGAAATGGCTTTGACGGGTTGGTGACATCGTGGCCATGGAGACCCCGGGAAATGCCACCACTGAGGTCCGGAGAAACAGCAAGCCCCGTGACGTAAGGTCGCGAATTGGTCGTGCAAAGCGATGCGATACAATTCGACACGCCGATTCGACTGGCCAACGAGACGCCCAGAAAGATCCAGAGCTGGTTCTATGGCAGGTTCCCATGGGACATTGTGGGAGTGTGTCCAAATCAGTTGCCCCCCTGATTGATATTGTTCACTCCGAATCCAGGCAGAAAACCGACCATTTCTGGGAGCTGGTTGTGACAACCTAGGGGTGGAAACAATTCCTGGTCCCTGGGCCTTTCGTATTTTTGAACTGCCTTGAATGTCTTGCTTGTACCCATTGGAGGGCCAAGTGCATTGACGCTTTGATTTGGGGAGCCACAGGTTGAAACACATTGACGCATACGATTGGTTCCAAATTGAACTGAGGACCCTCCCACCAACCCCCCCCTCCCCCTCCATTCTAGGCTTATCGGACAAGCGGAGCTTTCCGCCGCCGTTAGCAGGGAAGGACAACTACTTTGGCAAACACTGCCCGAGCTCGATGGCCTGAATCCGGCAGCTGGGGTAAAAAGCATTCAGCGCATCCGACCTGTGCAAAGATGGTATGTCCAGGTGAACTAACCCTTTGGGTAGGTGCCAAGAGTCTCTTTTGGAGGCTCAGCTGTGCAGGGGAAAGTGGGAATATTGAAGAGCTTTAGAGCCCGTTGGTTCACTGACATGGCCTCAGGCTGCCATGACAATGAGTTATCCGGTTCATACTACGAGGAAACCAAAGCCCCACCCAGCCAATGGGAAGATTCTTACCTTCTCAGAGGGCTTCTGATCGAAGGATTCTAAGAAGCTTTGCCAAGGGTTCAGGGACAAGACGTCTAGCTATTCTAACAGGACACATCCTGCAAATCACACACGTGCATCTGAGGTGGCGGCTTGTGTAGATTGTAGATAGCCAAGGCTTGCATACGACAAACAACATTTCATCAAACAACGCTGCAACACCCAGCCACAGAAGTAACCAATAATTGTTGTTTGTCAACCCCACACAAGGTGGGGGGCAATATTTCATCGATCAACAAAACGAGGAAATACAATTGTCTAAAAGTGGCTGCTGTCATACAATGAGAAAGCTCCCCCAACGCACTCTTTTCTTCAATTGGATACCGCAAAGCCAATTGCTGAATCAGGGATATGTCCTTCCCGCTTACACATTTTGCTGTTCAAACAGCAACAGGCAATTGTCCTCCACGCATTCCCAGGAGGGAAACAAAACAAACAAGGCTGAACCAGGTGTGGAGATTGGGTAAACAAGCTCGAGACCCCGATTCATCGAAATCGCTTGCTACGTGATGGTGAGCTCGTTTAAATTCTATGTGAGCTCGTTGCAAAATAGCAGTCAAAAGTCTGCTATTGAACGGTTTGGACTGCTCTGTTGATTTTCTCTGTGATTCTTACTCAACTCAAGAATCTGGTACTGTGTTCATTATTTTGACTGTCTGCGGGGGATTTCAAAGCCAGCAACTGCGGGTGTTTACGTCCCTAGCACTTGGTTGACTTTGATTATGGTGAAATAATAAGGCCAGCGGAACCCCGGGTTTCCTGAAAATGTAAACCACACTTTTCGAGCGATTGATCCCCACCTTTGAGTCAAATACCAAATGACTGCGGTAAACTGCTCACTGTGCTTGCACCTGTTTGCGCCCTTCCAAAACTATGCGGGTATTGTCTGACACTTTGTCTGGCTTCTATTCCGATACGTTCCTTGAAGCGTAGATTCCGACATGACTTCTGACACACACACACACACATATTCCGGCAAATAGTTTCTGACTTGTTGTCTGACATATACTCTGACAAATTCCATGGCCGTGCAGATTGAAATTGGCAACGCTGGCAACCTTCCCTTAGTTGGCAATGATCGTGTTTCCTCGTGTCATGTCCGCATATGATTCTGATCAGCCACTGACTAACCCCAGCGCCAGCACAGAGTGCGAACATGTCATATTCTGACAAATATATTCTGACATATTGATATAATGATGACATGTGTCCTGACATTTTCTCTGACGCATATTCTGACTGATGTTCTGTCACATTATGTGGCATATATGTTGATATGCTTTTGATATTTATGCAGACATGTTTGATACATGTGTTGATAGATATATGTTATGTATTCTTAGTATGTTTTTGTTTTTTCTATTTTTTCTTTACGTTTTTAATATATTTTCCAACATATCTTCCCACACATCCTCAAACTGTTTTCTGTCACGTAACTTCTGAGATAACTTCTGACATCATAAAATCACACGATACTCCCTGACATGTCCCCTCCTCTCATTGGAACAAATGACAACATTTGGACACACACGCGCACATACAAACGTACACATACAACTACACCAACACAGACACAAGACACACACACACACACACACGCACAACACACACACAACACACACATAACACACACACACACAAAACATATAGAACACACACACAACACATACACAACACAACACGATACAACACACACACACAAAACACAGACACACCGCACACAACACACAACACACACACAACACACACACACACACACAACACACACGCACACAACACACACAGGCACACAAGACACACACACACACAACACACACACAACACACACATAACACACACACACACAAAACATATAGAACACACACACAACACATACACAACACAACACGATACAACACACACACACAAAACACAGACACACCGCACACAACACACAACACACACACAACACACACACACACACACAACACACACGCACACAACACACACAGGCACACAAGACACACACACACACAACACACACACAACACACACACACACAACACACACACACACACACACACACACACACAACACACCACAAAACACACAGAAAAGACAACACACAACACACACCACACACACACAACAACACACAACACACAACACACAACACACAACACACAACACACAACACACAACACACACACCACGCACACACGCACAACGCGCACACACACAAAAGACACACAACACACACACACCTTCCCACAAATCTGTTGACATTTCCTCTGACACAACCTCTGACAAAATGTCAGGCATTTTCTCCGACATCTGTTCTGACGTTTTCTCTCACACATTTTCGGTCATATGATTGGTCATGTTCTCCATAAGTTCCGACATAACCTCTGGCATAAAAGTGTTCTGACCAATCGTCTGACGAAGTCCG